TACCGGACCGAGCCCAGTGCCGGCGCCAATGACCGCGATGGGCGCGCCGTGCTGAGCGGAGTGCGAACGACCCAAAAACATGGAAAAGCCTCGGTGTTCCTAGGGGTTCAAACAACCAAACACCAAGGGAATGACTAGCGTATGGGACACAAGAGCTGAACTTTGGTGAGTCTGAATTACACAGGGAAGCAGTTGGATCAGTTGGTGGGAGACTGAGTCAATGGACCTACATTGAATTCCTTTGTTGTCGTGTTTCTGGAATTTCCCTACAAATTACACCATTGGCCTCAACAACTAGGGGCTTGGGAGTTGAAAGTGTTTGGGTGGGATGTTCACGTCTTCACCAGTCATGCAGTGATGGAAGATCCAAATCGATTCACTCAAACAGAGCGGTTCCCGCTGCAAACCGATAGTTGAAGGAAGAAATCCTACAGCACCTGGAGAAAAACCATTCCCCAACTAGTGGGATGTGATCCACAATAATTCGTTGTTCAAACGCACGAGTCGTGCCTTTGGGCTGCCTATTGGCCTTCCTCCCCACTTCCTTTGGGCGGCTCCCCGTCATCGATGCTTGCTGGTGTACAGCGGATCACCCAAATCTTCACCTCAAGATGGGTCAGGTTCCCTCAAACCCGAGCCCTGGTCCATATTAGCTTGACCGGTGTCTAGGCATTTCAACCTTTTGACCCCCCAACCTTCACATTTGTACTACAGCAGGACAGCTCAGAAATCCACTGAAAGCGACGGCAAACGCAGCGGATTCCGGGCCTTAATGGGTGCGTCTTGCAAGATCTCACAGTCCTGAACGGCAGAATGCAAATGGGTTTGTATTTGAATGGGGGCACCTCCAACCAATTGATTTCGTTGAGATTCTCAGGTCCCAGAAGTCTTTTGGGAGTCTCCCTATTCTAGTACACACCCAAATATACAAATCTTTCAGAAAAGCCTGGCTGCTTGGTGTGACACTCTGACATTGATGAGTTCAAGCTGGTTTCGTTGATCTGGAATGACTTCACCCAAGATACAAATCTGCTTATATACTGTATACATATAAATAGTAAATACATGGGAACTTGATGGCATTTTACTTCAAGGAAATGATCCTTAAAGGCAGAATGCAAGTGGCATGCACGTAGGCAAATGCTGCCCTGAGTGACCTTCAGCCACCACTTGATGGCTCAAGTACAAAAACCAGAAAACAGAATGACATCCTGAGCTAGAAGCTTTTCAACTGCTTCTTTCGCGGAACTACAACTTCACTTGAACTCCCCCGTCTCCCGCGAAAACAGGTGCGCCAAGTTTGCCCGTGAAGCTCCCCAAAGTGGCCAACTATCCCGCCCGTTTAAGCGGCCCACAAACAAACCGACAGGGTTCGGTCCTTCTTGGGGTTCAATGTGAGGATTCCATAGCCCTGCGCCACGAAGTCCTGGGTCGTTCTCCGGTCGCCCGCGAGGAGCGGGCCGGGTCGAAAAAAGGAGACTCTGAACCTGGTGGGTCAGTGGTCTCAGTGGTCAGTGTCGGAATGAAAGAAGCTCCAAACACGGAAGCCTCGAAAGTGTGTGGGGGAGCTGTGAATGTTTCTGCACCACTTGACAACCTGAACTTGTGTACAAACACTACGCGTAGAACAGTTCACAATTCTCAGGTGCGGTGTAGCATGTTGTTTGATTGTAAAAAAGAAACCAATACGGCCATGATTTGGTGGAACCAATTAATATCAATAAACTACATTTACCATATTATCTTGCTATAGTTCAACTCTGACTTTGACCATTCTTGTAATGTCGCGACGTTGATGGACAAACCCCCCTCCCCCACCTACCTGGTGCGTTCAGCCATGGGAGCCGCGCGCGAGCAATAGCCTAGTTGCTCCCACCGCTGGCATAAACATTTCAAAATTCCTGACTCAGGGATTCCTTGTGAAATGCTACCCGCTACCCTTGAACACAATTGAATCGCCTGAACACCTCCTGCCAGGACATTTTGTTTCAAATTTCTCCACCCACAGTGCCACATCCGCTTTTCCGGACTAATCATCATCGATCCCTCAGTCCCCTCAGTCCCAGCCTCTGTCGAAGCTGTTTATCTATGTCTCTTCACGTTCTCCGGAGGCGAACAACGTCGACCACTCTTCTGTTCGTTCTTCGAAGAGCGCGCGGCTCTCTTGCTCGGCACCGGCTCCACCATGGAGCCACTGAGCACCAGGCGTTGATCAGCTCGACCCGCTGAATGCAAAAGGCCTGTCGATCGGCGCGCTGAAGAGCGCCCCAGACACGGGTGACCGGGCCAACTCATGGGTGACCGGCCCAAGAACTCACCGGTGACCAATGTATGTGAACGATGCATACAACAACATGATGTTAGAGTATTTATAGCGCGGTCAAAGAGACGTCAATGTGATACGCTAGCTTTGTGTACGATACTGATGCAAATCCTAGTCACAGGAGCCCAGTGAATGTTTTTGCAACAAGACCGACCTCAACCCACCAAAACTGCTCAACTTTGGCAGACTGGGCCTGGGCCCAGTGAATACTACAAGTCCAAACACTACCCAGTCCTGAGTCCTGCGCTCCTTAAGATTGAAGTGGGACAAATGCACAGATTTTGACCCCTTCAAGAGTACGAACATGCCCAGTGAATGTCCGTATTCATCAGCCATAATCAGCCTGGATCCTGGATGGGGTGCATGTAGCAAACTCCATTGTATGGTCTTTTTGGCCACATGACATGAAACGTTCACGTTCTCAAAAGAACCTCCCAAACGACCTGAGACCGTCCTGAGACGTCGGTGTGCAGCGAAACTTCTTCAGCCAAAGGCGGGCTAGCTATACCAAACAGGACCAAACGTTTTGTAGAGGGATGGTACGACAAAGATCCACCTGTACTGAGAAACCTCGGGAAGGAAGAAACACCCCTCTGCTCCGTCCCGAAGCAGCAGGTGTTTGACATGTGAGGCTATTCCTCAGCACTTCATGAGCTTCAAATGCATGACAATCCATATTCATCCATGAAATTGTTACATAGATTACCACCATGGACATCATGGACTCCTGGACAATGTAGGTTTGACCTCAACTATAGGAAACTCGACCTTCAATCCACCCGGACTGCATTAGGATCACTGCATTTCCTGGCCACTGAGCACCTCCGAGCGCGTGAGCGTCCACAACGACCAGCGCACGCGGTGCACGGACCGGCGCGGTGCATGAGCCTCTTCGATTTTGCGCCCACTAATCTCCCAACCTCAATGGAACAATGTCATGAAAATGTTAGCCAATGAATGCCAATTATATTTACCTTGGGAGTCCAAGACCATCTTTAAAACGGTCTTTAGGTGATCCAAAAAGGAACTTCCTGTACTTGGGTGGTGCCGAAAATAGTCTTTGGATTGGACTTCTTAGAATATATATAGCCAAGGTCTCTTTGTTTGATCGTGTATGATAAAACTTAAAACATGTTTGCTTTTGTTTGAGAATAGCCAAGGTCTCTTTTGAGAATCGCCATGTCCGGTCACGCATTGACAGGGCCAACGATGACCAAAGAGATCTGAGTTCGTCAAGCTTGGGAGTCCTGCCCCAGAATTGGCTTCGTTGGAAGTGGTACGCCTTGGCATAAACAGAAATATGTTGTGCGTGCAAATGAGCTCCAGGCAAGGATCGTCAGTGTCCGGACCAAGGGTATAGGTAATTGACCAATCCGTTCCTGACCAACAAATTAATACACTTCTCCGCAATGCGTCTGCTTGTTCTTGGGTCTCCTATTGAAGGGTCATCAATTGAAGAAAGGGTTAGGATGAAACGTGAAAAGTTTGCGCTGTACTCCTTCTGTGCAGAATGATTTCTAGTGCACTTAGTGCTCCTGCCAGGTTTTTGAGGGGAAGTATTAAAACAAACAGGTTGAATTCACCTCCACAAGGGGATGCCCGGTTATTGGCAGGCTACTCTTGTTGGATCCTGGTGGAGCAGCCCTAGTGACTCAGCTAGAGGTCACAGCACCAGAACAAACAACGAACAAATCATCGCAACTACAATGGGCCATAAGACTTAAGAAGCTGGACGCTAGGCTGCATCTTCATCACTTCCCCTGCCAAAACAAGCATGACTGGCTGGGCCAGTCAGTAGCTATGGCCCATGGCCATCTGTGGCCCATGACTAGCTAAAAGCATAGGTCACGGTGCAGAGTATAGTGATCCCCAAATAGATCGAAAGGTGTTGCAAATGTTTCCAATACATGTTGGGTGTTTTTTCCGGCATGCAAAAGCAAACTTGGAGCAGCCCGGCCGAACGGGAAATCCGTGTGCTCTGGGCTCAAGAAACCTGGGCAAACCTGGGTTGGAATGAGCAAAATATGGCAAAATACTGAGAACAACTTCAATCAATCATTCTCCGCCGAGAGAATGGTTGACTTGTTTTGCAGCCTCTTTCCAGCAGTTCGGCATTGTGACTGGACTCGTCCATTTCCAAACCCCACACCCGGCAAATGCCACCCCCTTTTGCGTGACAGGCACGGTTCAAACGGTGCGGTGTTTCGCACATCTTGTGCTTCGAGACAGGCCACAAAGCCCCTCTTGGGCATCACTATTCCATCTTAAAAGAAACGTTCAGAATACGTGTGTGTGTGTATATACAATCAATACTATAAACCTGATAATATACAATTATATACCCATATACAGGACCTGTTTACATCCTCGATCAACTGTGCGCAAGAAGCCTCAAGAGTGATGATTGTTATAGACGAACATCCGGGCGATGCCGGGGGGACTTGGCCAGATGACTCGAAAGGAGGTCCTTCGGTGACTCCAAGAACGAGATATGAAGAACAAGTACAATACCCAAATACTCCATGTATGGCATATACATTGAAGTGGTGGTTTCAGGCTTGGGTTCAGTGTATACATGGATGGTCTGGGATATGTTCAACAAAGGGACATGTCATGTGTGGTGTCCAAACATGTTCAGGCAATCGACCATAATCGAGTCTACTACTGGATTATACTTGAGTGTTCTTCCCTGTCACATGCGTTGGGACCTCCCTGTCACACTCCCGCTTTGCCTGGCCACATCAGTCAAACGCATGAAACCGCCACTCCGCTGAGGAGCTTCGCTGCACTCACATGGTTAAAAAGAACTCTTGGACGCCCCAGGTCACCAGCCTCCCATCCGACTGCAGCGCCAGGAAGGCTGAGGCAGTGCTGTAAATCTGTTGAACGTCCTGGCAGGGGCGACCGAGGAACTCATCGGCGAGACCGAGACCTTCGGAATCCACCCTGGCCAGCACCGCCATGTTCGGATGGTTGTTGGAGAGAAGGGTTGACTGTTACATGGTAGAGGGGTCCAAAGTTTAACCACCCAGCTCAATGATCTGCTAAGTTGTACAACCACAAGATTCAGGCCAGCACCGTGAATGTCATGTCTTATTTTCTGTGAATGTCAGGCAAGCACCATGGCTAAAACCACTCCATGTTTGAGGCCACTGTGTTGTGGTTTCTGGGAATACAATGATATTGGACTTGCTAGTCAGTGGCCTATAGATTCTAGATCAAACTTGAACACATACAATTCTTTGCAGGTTCCCATGTCCAAACAAGGTCACCTTCAGGCAAGTCGGGTCGGGTGTCGTGATGAGTGGGTATACGGTCTCCTTCACTTCGACGTCATCAGCAAGGTGGCCCCAGGTCTGCACAGTTCCATCGTCTTTGATCGCAGCAAAGGACTTCTTGGTGGCTTGGATATCCACCACATGATCCAGTCGGCCTCGGTGCTCGCGTTTCGGACAGAAGATGGAAAGAAACATCAGTCCCAAACATCGGCCTCCAACACCCAAATCGGTGATGAAATCATCACCCTACGGACGTAGAACTCAGCTTCCACCAATTGTGTTGGTCAGTGCGGTGCTTTGTCTTTGGAAGTAACCATCGATATCCATCGATCGTTTCAAAGCAGGACTCATGAAGTAGCTCCATGCTCTAGAGGCAACTGAAGGGCGGAGTACTTTTAAACACTGAACCGGTGCCTCGAAGCCGTAGACTGTCACCACCGCTGCACGGACTGCCCCAGGTGACTACTTCTCCATCTTTGGTGAGTGCAGCAAAAGCCTTCTGGGTGGACTGGATCCGATACACTTGACGAAGCTGATCTTGAACTGCAGTGCTATCACCACCACCTGTTGAGCTGCCCCATGTAATCACAGATCCGTCTGATCTGATTGCAGCGAAGGCATTCCGTGTGGACTGGATCCTGAGAGGGGGTAGTTTGGAGGAGTTCAATGAACACCAGAACTCCACAACCCCAATCAAACATGTCTATTGTGTCACATGATCAGATCATCTTAGATCTAACAACATAGTACAGTACTAGGACTACAAACTATAAAACTGCGATGATTTGCCCCTTGCTTAGGTCCAACTCGTCACTCTTGACCTTCAAAAAGACCCTCAGAAAGCAAATGCCGGAGTTCCTAACAGAGGACAGGTCACTTCTTTCTGGGATCAACATCCTCTTGAAGTGACTCACCCCCAACAAAAAGTCCAACACGTCTCCAAAGCTCTCTGTGACATCAAAGAGTTGGTCTTGAACTCCACTGCTGTCACCACCGCCAATCGGACTGCCCCATGTAATTACAGATCCCTCACGGGTCAATGCGGCAAAGGCCTGCAAGGTGGCCTCAGGGTTGGGCGCTGCATGGTGGTTGGGCCCGGGCGGGTGATCCATAGAGCTGGTGTGCACGGGGCACCCTCGGCCATGGCGGACCGTCTGTCCTTTTGACGTCTGCAGACGAAAATGGCGAAGCATTGAGATCTCCGTAATTGCCCAGGCAATAGTAGATGAGAAAATCACTTAATGGGCAATATTCATGTATAAAGAAAAACATATCGATTCATTCTTTGTTTCCTGAAGGCCCTCGTCTGTGTTGTTCTGTTTTTGGGCAGGTGTTGCGCGGAGAAGGATCCAGGTGACCTGAAGAGAGTTTGTGAGGATGATCTCGTTTGACTCATGAGCCTAGTGAATACATGGTACATGAACCTCCCAAGCCTGGAGAGGTTTTACAATCCAGGCTTGGGAGGATACTCGTCAACAGCCTAAATTAAGTATTTTGTGAATTTTGGCTGTTGATCCATTCTGGACAACAGCCTATATTAAGTATGTTGGCTGTTAATATACAGTATACATCAGGAGAAATCCATTCTGGTCGCCAACCTCGCAGTCGCCTGAATCAACTCCAGAAACTCCACCGACCCCCTCTGAACCACTTGAAAGGCGACCAGAAATCACGAGAGTCGGCACATGTCGGCACAGCAGGGAGGAGTCGGAGATCGTCGTGTCACCCGGCCTGCACATGGATGACCTCTTTCAGCCGATGCTTCACGGAGCTTGGAACCGCCCCCCCACCGATGGGGCTACCCCAAGTCACCACACTTCCATCTGACCGGATTCCAGCAAATGCATCCCACGTGGACCTGGCGCCACAAATGAAACGGACACCGACAAAATCACCATACATACATATCCTAAGAACTGTTAAATCCAAATCCCTGGCCAATCTACCCACTACTTTGCACACACCTCCAAAAAAATACATACCAAAATACCAAGTGGCATTTTAGCCAAGGGTATATTTGGGATTATTTTGGGTACACAGTTGCAATGCTAAGACAGAATAACAAGGTCAGCCAAAAAGTCATCGAGTTTGACTGAGAGACTGAATATGCTGGATATTGTTGAGCTCATCTCGAATAAGACTGCTGCCAACGCTACCTGTTAGACTACCCCACGTCACCACTGCTCCATCTGCTAAGATTGCAGCGAAGGATTCCGAGCTTGCCTGAATCTTCTGCACACCTTTCAGCTGCTCTCGGAAAAAGCTACTATCACCACCGGCCTCTGGATCACCCCAGGTAATGACACTTCCATCTTTCAATAAAGCAGCAAAGGCCCTCTTTGTAGCCTGAATCTGCTCCACATCTTTCAGAACTTCTTGGACAGTACTACTGTCACCGCCACAGCATTCATCGCCCCATGTGACAACCTGTCCAGTCATCGTGATCGCGGCAAAGGCCTTGGAAGAGGCCTGAATCGCCCTGACATCCCGCAAATCTGCACGAACGGCACCTGAACTGGTCCAACACGGGCCGAGCTGGTCAAACGTGGCACGAAGCAGGGCGAATGCACCCAGTCACGCTTGGTTGGCTTGGAAGCGGATGTTCTTCGAATTTAGAGTGCAATCTGGAGAAGTCCAAGGTACCGGCACCACCTAGTTGTACCGAGTTTGACGGTTCCCTACATTTACATTCTTGTCAAGAGCTGGTAGGAGGAGGGTGTATGAAGCACTCTAGTCAGGAGATGTTGGTACAGAGTATTGCATCAAAAAGAAACTGGCAGCTTCAAATAAATACTGTGGTCCAAATCATCAAGGATTGATTCCACACAATTAATTACCACGCTCCTGAACACAAAAAATCCTCTGTGGTCTCTTAACATTTAATTTGTTTCATCGATTGGGTTTATTCATCTTTCTACCAATTAGCTAGGTGAATTACTGACTTTAATGTTTCTATCCCTGTGTGCCCAAAAGTCGTGGTCGAAGACCGATTCGACCGATTAAAACCCAACAAAGCTACATTCTCCAACCTGGCACCATCAAACATTCTAGGAATCATACAGTCTCTTATACAGTTTTCCAGTCAGATGTCATGCAACAGGGAGAAGGCGCCGCACAAAAAAAATGATAGGCCGAGCGTTTGGTGGTGCCGACGTGTTGGTGCTCCTTCCGAGTTGCTGCTGTCTCCGCCGTATTCAGGAGCACCCCATGTGACCACCGGACTCCCTGAAGACCACAAGGCAAAGGCGAACTCTGTGGCAGCCACCCTGGCCCCTTCGGCAATAGCAGTCAAGTGGTCCTCGTGAATCTGTCGGGGCAAAAGAAATGGCCACTGTTGTGTTGTGCCATTCATATATGGGAGTTGATCTAAATTCCTTTATCCGGGATCCGTCATTTTCGCCAAAAGAACTATATATATACTTTAGCCAAACTTTCGCCTTCCTGCGTTTTATCTTTCGCCAAAGTACGTTGTATTCATGTGTGCCATGTATGTTGTGTTTTGTTCACGTCAATGGCTTCTTCTTTACTGGCAAACACAAAATAGAAACTTCACTGTTTGTCAGCATGTGTCTTCTACTTAACTGTTGACACCCTGTACGTCTCTTTTGTTTCTCCTGGGTGTCAGCAAGAATAAAAATTGCAAGAATCACTGTAGTAGCCGGTCACTCAAACTTGATCATAATGGGCTGGGGGTCAGATGTGGCAGGGTGAACTTACGCCAATCTTGAGCTGAACTTTCGCAAACTTTCGCCTTTTGCGGGGTAGAGTTTTGTGGCAAAGCCACCCACCCAAAGCAGGAGCAGGAATAGTAGTAGTAGTAGTAGTAGTAGTAGTAGTAGTAATAGTAGTAGTGCTGTTCAGGAAGCAAATGAACATTCATGCAAAGGTGCATACTTAATCTTTCGCCAGATCTTTCGCCAAAAAAGTTGTTATTTTCGCCAACTCGAGAAAAAACTTTCGCCAAATGAGATGTTGATATGTTCCGGGTCATCGTCATACACAATGCTGTCTAGGACCTTTAGATCGACAACCATATACATATGGATACCACACATAATGACCTCCGAATCAAAGCTCGGAACAATGACTTTAGAGAAGGCCAAGAACACTAGTGCCATGGATAACACACATACAGTGCCATTACTGGACAGTGTCAGGGACAATCAGGGGGCAATCATTAAAAAACATCTTCTTTGATCCAGAAATAGGTCTTTTCAATGATCCCCTTAGACCATACAAACACCAAGTTTCGGGAGTCTACTCTCGCAGTGAAGGCAATCATCCTTCCTAAATGCAAAACATGTATATTACCACAAACTACCACCATCACCTGGGATAGATCATCTCCAATGTCCCAAACTATAGCTTTTAGTAGGCAAAGTGATACCTGCCGCAAAAACTCATGTTTTGCCAAACAACTTTTCTACTTGGCAGTGGGGCTTGGACCTAAACTCGTCGTGCGAGCATCTCCATTGTGCACCGCGACCGCATCCAAGAAGTTTGACACCTGCAACAGCTTATCCTTCGCCACCAATCCTCAGTGTACAAACTCCTGATGTAAATTCCAGTGGATGGAACATCAACTAGGAGTTCCATGTTGAGGTAGTTTAGTTTCGATCCATGCATTGCATGGATAGACAGCCGTCTAAACCCTAAACCCGAAACCACCCTAATTAGGGTGGAACTCCAACCGAGTACTTATAGATGATTGAACAGTTAATTCTGGAAGTCCTACTCCAATACCTATTCAATTGCTAAATACATCATCAATACCTTCGCGGGGTGAGCTTGGGAAAGACCAGTCCGACCAAGCCCGATACATGACCCCAGTGGATCGACTTGATGTTGTTTCTCTTGTTTTTCAGAAGTCAAAGCATGTTCATCAGCTACTTTAAAAGCTCCTATACTCCTCAAAGAACTATAGCCTAACCTCCTACTTTTCCAAGTTGAAGAAATTGAATACGCTGGATAAACTTGATGGATCTGATGAATGCTTGGGAAAGTCAAACAAGTCCCTACTGTGGAGGGGAATCCAAAGGACATCTGCAATCCCCTAGTAACAGAGTGAACTTGAAGATTTTAAGGTGGTGTAAGATATAATATCCGTTGATTCTTCCCTATGCTCTTATCGCTTTCACCATCCTGCTACTGTTGGAGGAAGACACCGATACGTTAAGTACCTCCAGCTTCACCGCCTGGCAGGTGGGGCAAATGTCTTTCTTCCAACAGCAGCGGTTCTCTTGTTTGTTTGTTTGTTTGTTTGTTTCGACAGCTGTGTCCATGCTTCTCAAGAAGTAGCGCCCCAAAGATTTCTGGGCTGCTGCTTTCAGATCTCCAATCGTCGACGTCCTCGGCAAAGCGACATGAACTGGTTTCCCCCAACTGTGGAGACTGAAGTAATCCTTCAACTGCAGCTGATCAAACACTGCATCTTAAAGCACTTTCCTTTGCACAGATTCTTCGACTGAGCAATGAATGCTTTTTTTGTCCTCACCTGAGACAAATAATCATTCACTAAAGTTGTAGGGCAGGCAAAAAGCTATTACCATCGGACCGTGGGCCCTGGGGGTGATTGGTCATGACAGTGGGTGACGAGCCTTGTGCATAACAGGGTGAAACACAAAGAGCACCCCGCTTGCTTATATGGTGATATAATTCTATGATACTATATACTGTCTGAATTGTATATAAGTGCATATATTAGCGTATATTTGCTTATTACTACCCACCTATATATATATATATCACCTCTGTTACAGGATAATTGTTCACAAAAAATGCTTCAGTGCGTTAAGTGATTGATATATCATATCATATCACAGCAAACGAGTTGTTTCTTGGATAATCATCCGGATGATATAAGGTTCACAGAGATACTTCTATGATGTTCTACTATGTCCACAGCGTCTCGACGCAATCGATACTATTTGGTGGATTTAGGTGTGTTTCTTTTTGTGAAGTCATGGTCATCAAATCAGATTTGTGGACAAGCTTTGCTGCAAGGGTAGGATTGTCTTCAAGAGCTAGTCTTTCTTTAAACACTGCTAATCCGTGCAAGGGCATGTGTATAATATATAATTATATATATATGCTTGGTGAGGTTGAACTTGCTGCTCGGAATGAACTATATAACCACTTGCAGCATCTTGCAGCCAGATTCAGCAGTTGCTTGCGTTTGGTATGCGAATGGCAATGGGCCACGGGACAACCTGCAAGTACAGGCAGTTTTTGTGCAACACATTGTGCAATCACAGTTCTTGCCTCCATTAGGTTGGCTAGGTAGTTCCTGCTCAAACAGGTAGGACAGTAGGACCATGAGAACAACCTGCCTGACTTGATTGGCGCCTCATGCTAAAATATATATGTATACATAATTATACATATTATACATATACATATGCCTATGCTACTTGATGTCACAAGTTGATGGCAAGTGATGATGGTAACAAACTATATATATATACATAGGTACGGTGCTAGTGGTAAACATAGCAAAACCAAAAGCATAAAACATATTTGAATAGAACATGGTCAGGAAACATGGTAACAATGCGTCCCAACATAGAAAAAGGTGCCTAGAGAGCCTCTAAAACTTCAACAATCCATTAATCTGAAAGGGGACACACCTGCTTTTCATCCATCTATAATCTATTAACTGTAGATAACTGTAGGCTTTGCATGGCGTTACTCTTCTGTTTCAAAGCAACTTACCAAGCGGACTAGTGACGCGCGTTTCTTAGACCGTCTCTCACCCAAGGCGCTGCGGCACGGAGACCGTCTCCCAGCGGCCACTGGGCAAACTCACGGTCACCGTGGTCGACCGCTCCGCCATTCCCCGCTCCGCCCGCGCGGGATCAGCGGCACGCCGGGGCCGTTGGGCCGTTGGGTGGGGGTGCTTGGGCCAGAACGCAATGGTGCGATCTATAGAAAATGTAGACTGTTGATCCATAAGAAACCACAAAAGGATACAAAAGGTATAAATTAAGAGATCAAATGACTGCCACCTGATGTGTTGGGATGTATCGGGTGGGCGACGAAAGTCGGGTCAATTCCTAGCTCCTGAAGATGTAGTCATCAGGAATCCGTTGGAGACAGGGAAGTGACCTTCAGTATATGGCCGCTAATCCACGGATGAGAGCAATTTCCCACCACGAGGCTCTGAAGGAAATTGCCTATCAAAGTATTTCGGCATATCCCATACTCAAGGCCCTCAAGGCCATAGCAGGTGGCTGATGGAAATGACTTGAGCATACTTGAGCACTATGCAAAGCGTTTTTTGTGGAGTATTGTTGCAATGTGTTCAACTTTCTCCCTCAAACAAGCAAAAGTACAGCAGCCGATTGTGGCTGTGATCTGTAAATGAGTGCCACGTTGTGCTGGTGGTGGTCCGGCCATTCTGCTACCGCGTGGTCTTTCTCGTCCCTTGATGTCATCTTATTGGGCATCTTCCAACTCAGTGGGATAAACCCAACTCCTTTGGGCATCCCGACTCAGTCCCTGCAGGAGTTCAACTCAATGACGACCAGTGGCGTTAAAAAGGACCGTTCCCAGGCGTAAAAAAGGACCGGGAAAGAAATGGGAGAGAACGCCCCCAAACTCAAGCCCAATGAAGGAAGCTCCTCCAAAAATCCTCCTGGCGCGCCAGGCCATACTAATCATACTATCACAAACGAACATCCTAAAGTCGAAAAAACACCTCTCGATTCCAAAAGACTGCAACTCATGCGCCCCCGAAACGAGCAGCATTGGGACCCCTCGACCCTCCGTGCCGCCCGCGTCTGATCCGAAGCCCCCGTCGTCCCACGAAACGGCTTCGGAGCGCCAAGTGGCCCAAGTTGACGAAGCGCGCAGAGTTGTCGACCACCTCGAGGAACAATGGGGAAGGTGGGTCAAGGCGGTTTAAAGGGTGGCACGGTTAAAGAGGGCACGGTTTATGGGTGCTGAAGCCAAATATCTAAGCAATTCGAAAGGTTATTCAAGTCAAGTCCAAAGCATGTTTTGTCTTACTTAAAAGGAAGCATTTTCTGATATGCACGGTGTCTTTGGCACCAATCCAAAAATTAAAAGAGGCCTGGACAAAAAAGAAACTCCCAAATCACCTACAATCTGTTGACTGTGGTTCAGGGGAACCTTCACAAGTTCACACTGTAGTCATACATCCAGTTGAACGACCCTGTTCATCATGGGGTTTTGGTCCACTTTGTTCTTTGAAAACCAACATTGTCTCAGCACCTGTAGGTGTTCTAACAACAGAGCCCTACAGAAAAGCACATGACATGGGCTCTTGCTTACGAAGAATACCGTGGTCAATCCCCCCGTTGTGAACACGGCGGTGGTCACCCGCTGAGGATCTGCACGACACCAGCGACGGCCAGGCATGCCAGCAATGGCGGCCTCGCAGCGTCGAGACAGCGATCGAGGCGAGGCAGCTTGCAGCGATGGCACCCGAATCAATGGCGGCACGGATCATGTACCAGTATATATGGTTGATGTATCAACCTCAGGCTTGGAGGGTTTTATTGAACCCCCTTCCAGTTGGGTAGTCAAATCCCTTCAGGCCTCTAGGGAGGTGTTATTAAAAAAGAGTCTACACGACGGCGCGAGAAGAACATGTTCTGGATCGGCTCCCTGGCAATTGCCACCGTCCACCGGATGGCATCCACTCGATCATCGGGCTGGGATCCGGGCTTCTCCAATCCAGCCTCTTGAAGGAAGAGACGCACCACATCCATAAAGGACTCGAAACGCTCGTTCTTGTACCTCCATAAACGCTCGTTCAGGCCATCTAAGAAGGAAGAGTTGCGCACTCTGCTCTCAATATCACAAGGATCCATTGCACATTGATTCTGAAAAACAACTATGAAGGCCAACCAAGGTTTAGTATGGTTTAGTTACTCTTGGAGTCTTCCACCAGTACTTGGTCCGGGTCCGGGCCCGACCAGTTCCGTGGGATTCATCGCCGACCTGGCTGGCTCAGGCCCAGGCCCAAATATGTACAACTGTACAACATACTTGACTTAATAGGAATGCAAGCATCCTCTTGCACAGCTGCCAATGATGATATGGGCAAACAATGGCAAACATCACGCTAGAACCATTCAACAAGAAACAGGCTTGCATGCTGTGTAGGACATCTTCAACTCCTATTGGATGAAGCTCACTGAAGAGTTTATTGAACAGCTGTAGAAGATTCTGTCTTGCCAACCGTAGAAACCCGACATAGTTCTGAGTTCATCCAGTGCAATACCTGGTGAAAGACCTTCTTGGCAAAAAATCGAAGATCAGCTCAAACCAAAATGGAAATAAATGGAAGACCATCTGGTTTCCAGCCACATCCTCCGAAAGCAAACATGATGAAAAAGAACAAACTTCCCAAAAACAGGATCAGTGTCCATTTCCACCTTTTTCTTGAACACCGACGCAAACGAGACGTCTCCGTGTGGAGTCACTGCTTCTCAAAGATCATGCGCTCCGGTGGGACCTCCGCGCCATGCCGCGTGTGCGCCATAGGCGCTCCAACCGAAGGACCCAGCGTGTCGCTCCACGAGAGGCCTGTATTTGGGGAATTCTGTCGTCTCTTTCACATGTTCTGTTCTTGCTCAACTTCTTTATATAAGGTAATTCCAGGGCTTCAGTCAGTTGACAAAATGCCTCAACACATACCCAAACCTGTACCCTGCAAGATTCCCAGTCGGGACAACTTGGAAGCTCAGTTTCCTGAAATGATCTCCCCAACAGAAGATCATCCGTCCGGTTGTCAGCAGCACCGGACAAGCAAAGACAACGCATGAAACATCATGAAATGCCTATAACCGCGCTTAGATATAAGCGCTTGTATGCTTTAAACAATTTTAGACATGTTCTAAGCATGAGTCTGTTTTTAACATCTTTGGAGACCATGTGACCAAGTGTAGCGACCAGGGCCCCTGATAGCGATAGCATCGACACCCGACCTCAGCAGCCCCGCTCGTCTCCGAGCGGTGAGCGGCTGCTGAAAAAAAGACAACCGGCCAGGCAGACCTATTTATTACGTTTATTAGTAGTGCGTTCTTCTCCAAACTGGTTGATTCTTGACATGGGCGTGTATTCAATAGGGAACTAGAATGACATAGACCAATCTACCCGTTGGGGCGTCTACCATGTGAACATTGGGATTTGAGGATAGTGAAGTCGGCCTCTTGCATTCTCGCTCCGGAAACTCGGTACAGTGGCCACCTCTGTCTCTTCCACGTGTTTTGTTTTGTTTTGGTGTGCATGTGTCTCATTTACAACCTCTACCACATCATACACCACATCCATTTCCTTTGGAATTACAAGATATACGGAGTGCCCCGGAGTGCCCCGCGGTACGGTCTGTTCTTCCCTTGTGGGGTCCGTTCTTCCTGGTTTCCGTTTGGTCCGCCGGTGTCTCCCTGGCGCTCCCGGCGAAGAAGTCGGCTTCGGTGGGGTTCAGCGAGTCCGGGGGCAGAAAGAGGTGCAGGCCTTGACGGCGACGAGGTGCCGATGACCGAGCGACCGGTGGTTGGTAGGTCACGAGTTGGTGAGCGGAGATGTTGTGGATGAGCTGGGGAAGGTATACTGGTCAAAGGTTGCAAGTGGATACAACATGATACAACTGGACAAAGGGCCTTTGGTTTTCACATGTTTTCACAATGTTTCTATATAGGCTATAGGTCAAACTCAATGCAGGGATGCATGCATCCATGACGAGCCCCTCTGACGAGTGGCTTAGCAAGTTGAAGGCCCGAAGCCTGATCTTTCATGTTGCAGTCCAAAGATGAATTGAAGCTGCCGATTGGCCAAAGATGTCCATCCAAAATTATGTATGCAAATCAGTCACCCAAAACTGGTGGCTCACAGGAAAAGAAGCACACAGTTACAGGGCCCTTGCAGGTCAAAAAGAGCCTTGAAGCCGAAGGGCCTTCGTTCACTGAGATCCCAGTCAGTTGCTCTGCTTGGATCCAAAGTGATTAAAAAAGGTCCCCTTCACCTCGGTCGTCCTGAAGCGAACTGACCTCGGTCGTCACTGACCTTCCGTTCAGTCGGAGACGTGACCTTCTTGGTCGCACCAGGCCGGACAAAGCAGCGTGACACACAGTGCGTGACCAGAACGGATTGCAATGAAAATCCAAAGTTGCATCTTGCTTCTGTTTTGGCTCTCAAACGCAATGTCTTGTAACCGCTTTTGGGGGGTTCATGGGGTGAGACCTCTTGCATCAGTGAAAAGAAAAGGCTGCAGTATACAAGATGTTTGCATGAAACTGCTTCATATGACGAAAGCCGCAAGCTGAAGCCTAGAGCTTGTCCGGCTTCTCTCCTCTCTCTCTCGTTCCTGCTCCATAGGAAAAAATAAGCCGGCTTATGAGGAGTCTCTGCCTGCAGCATCTTTCGATGGCGCTGGCCATGGCTTTTGCCTTGACCTTTCCAACCTTCTTGTCCTTCCAAGGCTGGAGCCACTGCTGCTCTCCATTCTCATCACAGGTGCTTCAACTTGGATCATCTGGTCAAGCTGTCGAATCGTCTTTTCCAGAAACAAGCCTACCTTTAATGCGACGATGAGGAACCTTTTTGAACACTTGGCTGCAGATCCTTGAGGTGCTTTCACCTTGCACATCCCTTAAAGATCCAGCTGAAACCTGATCCTTGGCCACAAGTCGGGCTGACTCTGCAAAAATGCCTTGAACTAGCTCTCTTGTTGGAGGTCCACTAGGCGTCATCGATTGTCATCGATGTCCAAAATGGCTCATCTGGAATCTGAACTTGCAACACCTGGGGTTTCTGATGCCCTTTGTGCTGCTTCTGATGTTGGCAAACATCCCAGTTGTTACTCCGATCCACCTACCTCCCTCACTCCTTTCCTCTTGGACTTCCATATCCAAGGATCCCGGCGGGAGCCCGTGCCACCCACATCGGCGGAGAGTAAGGTGTCTCCTTGGTAGTCTTTCCTGCACGGCCATCGACCCGGGCCTTTTGGGCTGTGCAGCACAGCGAGCTTCAACGGATGTTCCACGGGACCGGCACCTGGATTGGAAGCCTTGAGATAGATGGGTTTGTCATCAAACCTCTGGACACATAGGAAGTGTTCAAACAGTATAACATATTATATACCAGGATACCTGAACCTTCCAGAAATCAAAGGACTCATTCACATATAGCCGGAAATACACGTAATCACACATGTATGATATGTAGACAACAACAACAACAACAACAAATTCATCCAAAAGCAGCGTTTGGCCACTTTGCACACTTTGCCAAACACAGCTGCCGGCAAAAAGCCGCCTTTCGATGGGAGAAGAATTGCGATGTCCAAACCAACTGTTGCTTCTTTCAGGCACATGTTAAAAGGTATGTAAATGAAACACCCACAGAGTGGTGTTTCGTGTCTTCACCAATTCTGAGAAAGCACTGATTCAGAGACTTGGTGAAACAGAATTCAGAAACTGTGGGTCCGTCTAATTCTGATTCTGAGAACCAAGAAAGTCCAGAGATCCAGTTTGCGTTTCTTGGACTTTCCACCGGGTCCAGTTCGCCTCAAATTCGCCTGTGCAGTTGAGATCGACCTGTGCTGCGGTCGATGTCTGCCGTGGCGATACGCCGGATCAAGAGACCATCAACAGAAAAGATAAGCACACAAGTCATTGCCATGTAAACAAGCAAACAAATAAAATACTTTTGACTTTTGCTGCTGTTGTTGCTGTTGTTGTAGCTAGTCCTAATCTAGGTTTATCCCAATCAAACAATCATGCACAACGGTTTTGGGCACCAATGAAGATGTTTGGAGCGGTTTTTACTTTTTCTTTTTCGGGAGAACACAAAGACCAGCTGGCTTTTGACCTTGAATAGCGACAAGCTGATACTGTTTGATGGAGAAGTTTCTCTTGTACAGCTTGGGACGGACGCTCGTTTCACACTCAACCCAGCGTGGTCCAACTACAACTGCAGTCGCTTAAACCATGGGGGACAGGCTTGGTCGTTCAATCGTAGCCAGGGAGAGGAAACAAACGACTTCACTCAAGGAAGGGCAACTTCACCCAATAAACGACCTCACTCCTCCTTGGCCTGTGAGGCCTGAAGATAAGGTGTTCCCAGCAAGGACATGGGATAAACTTGGAGAACTGTCCTACTCTTCCCTACCCGTGCTTTGTTCAACTATGGCCACGGTACTTGGTCAAACTGGAGGCCACCTCCAGAAAAGGAGGGTTCCGGAGGATTAGCAGTCCACCAGTGAGGCCTCACTCAAGGAGGAGCCCCATGTCGAGGATCCCTCCAGTCGTTCACTGGTCCCATGAAGCCTGCTAGTGTTTCGACTTGCTTCGATCCACTCTTCGAACCTTGAGTCTTGTGTAGTCAAGGCATACCAACAATGCAAGACGGGGGTTTTCCTCGTTTCTCACAGACCTCAAGATGGGCGGCGCCGGCTTCTGCTCCGGCTGCGAGGCACCCGAGCCCATGGTGCTGGCCGGTGTTGCCGGTGATGCTGCGACGGTTGGATGAAAGATGATGAAACGGTCCGGTGTTGAAAGGTGTTGAAAGAAGGTGTTCGGAACTTTTGAATTGCTGCTGGATTTTTCTTGTTTAAAGAAGGGAACCTGTATATATGCATGATATTATAGATATAGTATGATATAGTTGCTGTGCGGTTTTGGAGTGTTCTTGGGTCTTCTGGAGCCATTCCAAACGCTGACCACGTTTGTTCTGTGGTGCTGGCCACCGTCCATCGCTTCCGTTTGGGTGGTAGTGGTCACTACATCTGAGCCGCACGTCAATCGCTCTGTCTTCCGATCGCTGCATGCGGGTCGATCGCTGGGAGCGAGTCCGTCCACCCTCCAACCGATCACTGATTGACCTACCTGTGACTGCCGACCTAGGCCAGGCATCGGTGGTGCTTGTGTCCGAAAGAGCGATGCTCCTATAGCAGCCTGTACTTGCCACTTCTTTTCAAAACAACACGTGTGATGTTGTTCGAGTGGACTTTCGGCCCTGTCAGACTGTAGCACTTGACTGAACTCCCGGCATTGGGTCATGAGAACTCTCAGAACCTATAGAGGAACCGCTCATGGATGTTCCTCCACAATGAACACCGAAACAACCAGTTACTGGGATGGATGGGATGAATGATGATGATGATGATGATGATGATGATGATGATGATGATGATGACGATGACGATGACGATGACGATGACGATGATGATGATGATGATGATGATGAGCCAACCATTACTTCACTGCAACTGGATGTCATCCCTTCACCTCCAAACAGTCCAGGCCTCTTTTCCTCGAATTCCATGCTGTTGGTCCGACGCGTCACGCGGGGTGTCGCTGGCACGAGGGGGGCGGCTTTTCCTGTCTGATCGCCGGCCACTAGCTTGGCAACCGCTGTTTTGTTCGTCGTTGTTTTCTGTGGCTCACACCGATCTCAGATGGATGTGGCTGGACACGCAGATCTGGGAAGATCTCGGAAGCCCACAGAACATCCATTGGAAAAGAAGCAGAATGTCCATGAATTGGTTGATGAAACATCTGATGTCACGGATGTGTCACGGCACAGATGCCTGGAACACATCGTGGACGGTACCTGTGAGATCCTGGCTCTGCAAAAGATGCAACTATCTTACAGGTGCAGCTGTGTCTACAGCCTACTTGAATCGCTGCACAAGCGAGGGCCCACAGAATCTACATTGTCATCCATCCATCATTCTGGCACTCAGCATGAGAAATCAACACCAGCCGTCCGCTGAACTCTCCACCCTTGGCCTCCAGCCGCCCCCGCGCAGCTCCGCAGCTCCGCTCCCCGTTGAGCACTACGGACTCACAAAAGAGGCCTCTCACGCCGCCAGAATGCGATGTGGGATGCCTCCGAAGGGCAAATGCCTGGCGACCGAGGCCGTGACCCTTGCTGGTCTTCGGACCGACAACGGATGAGACCCACGTTTGGGCCCGTGTAGAAGGAACCAACAGTCGGACATGTTCGTGTAGACTCACGGGGTGGAAAGCACGCCTTTCTCTTGGAATGTTTGGATTCTTTCCAGGAATAGCATGATCTTGACTCAGTGGGGGCATGGGATGATGATACTGACAACTTGTTGATGCAACTCCACAAACACGACATGTGACTGGTGGTTTTACCTCAACTTGTGCATTGAAAAGAAAGAGCAAGGGACTCGCTCAGTAACCTCTGTCCTCCGGTTGGCTTTTAGTGGGAAACCAACATTACCCAATAAGCTTGAGGGTGACCCCACTGACCGGGTGGGCCAAAATGATCGACAGTACAATTCGGTCAAAGTTCCCACACGTGGGTCGCTCTTCCAAAGACTTTATAACAGGATGTGGCTGTTTCTCGTTTTTTGCGTCAAACAATTCAGAAACTTTGAACACTGGATGGTGCACTTCTTCTTGCATGAACTCCACCCGATGGACACCCCAAACTCTCTGCCTTGTGTAGGCCTCTGGCGCCCCAGCGTCCTCAGGTTGGACCAGTGGGGCCTTCCTGGACACACCTGGGGAGCCTACCTGAGACTTCATGCGGTGTTCGAAGTCTGGGCAGCCTCCAAAGGACCAAAATGGACCAAGTCTGGTCACCAGGTCCTAGGTCACCATGTTTCTCCAGGTTCATCGACATCATGAGTTCTGAACTGCGGTTTTTGAGGTCGAGTCAACCAACGAGTCAACCACGTTTCACATCATTTCACCATAGTCTTGCAACGATTCGTGTGACTCCAAAAGAAAAGGACCTTCGATGGATTGAAGTGACCTAGGGCTGGCACTTGGATCTTCTTGTGCTGGGCTACAGGTCAATGGATTGGAGCGAAATGAGGATCCGGATTCCAAACAGGAGGTCTCGAAAGGATGTCTTGGCACCTAGCTAGGCTCACACTCACCCGGATAAGTATGTCCTGATGACATTCTCGCCAGGTTCTTCAGTAAAGACTCATGGTCCCAGGAGACCACTGGAAGTCGCCTTCCCAAGTGGTCCCTCAACTGAAGAGTGCATTATATTGGCCGTTCTCTTGCCTTTCGGCCCGGTTTCTACATTTGGTGCTCTGCAAAAAAGCAGGTCTATAGGCACCGAAGCGCGAGCCGAAGGCCACTCAGTTGTTCTGAATGCTGATCTGACATCACCGTGATATTAGCCTAATATATAGAATGAGTCATAGGTGGGGTGAATGTAACACGTTTTGCTTGGGATCTCATGGATTGTGAGTCGTTGGCGTTGGGGAACCTTAGTCCATTTGCCCAGATTGTTCCTAACCCACACAGTAGCTGAACATACCAATTGAACCACACGACAAATGGGGCGGAATACAAATCAAATCAAGTCCTTTAGACAACAGTGATTGATATCCCTGCTAGATTGGACAAGTGTTGAACCACCTCATGTTTGCCCAAGGATCTGCACAAATCAGCCCGAGGAATTGCAACAAGCGGTTCAAGCCTGTTGCAAAGATGTGCACAGCTGCAAATTTGACTCAGAAAATGCGTGAATCCTGGACATCCCAAAAAGCAAAGAACATCGGAGAGGGAGAGCTTCAGTGACAACAACAGCACCACTGACAATGTACAAGTCATCACAGACTCAAGAAACAGTACCAGGACCATGCCTTCAGTGTGGACTACCCTACACTGGATAGACTAGACTCGACTGTTGTCTTTTTGGTATCCCTTGAAGAGTCCAGTCTAGAACATGACTCTTCTTCTATTCATGGTGACTCTGTGTGGCGCCAGTGACCGATGGAACAGCTGTTTCCAGACTTGACCTGTTTCCAGACCAGTCCAGTCTGCTTTTCCTCCTGCGGCCGGGCAGCGGTGATCAATCCATTAAGTGAACAAAAACTCATTGAAACTTGGTATCTCACCTGCATACTTAGGTATACCTTACCCCCATCTCACGCGCAGTTTTCCTCACCCTGACCCTTGGATTGGCAGCGGTCAGCAGATCCTGAGGGCCCATGGACTTACGGTCCCTGATCATCCCAATGATAGAGCTGGAGGTCTGCCACCTCTAAAGACTCTAGAAGACCCCTTCTTCTAGCAATCCATCAGTCCATGTAGCCATTGCTCAATTTGGGCAAAAACGGAGATTGATCTTGACCATAAGGGCACGCCACGCCATGTATACCAACCCACATCCACAAATCAATTGGAACCTTCCAACCACCATATGTTTGACCACCCCAACAACCAAAACAACCAGCCAATTGAACCCTCCTGAACCCTCCTGGACCATCCACTGCCTCCCAGTGCTCGGATGGTGTCGGACCCGAATCGCTCACCTAAACCGCCGCGGAGACGCTCGCCCGAGGGCTCCGGGAAATGCCATACCTATGCCTATACCTATACCTAACCTTCTTTAATATCTCTTTGGCGGGCCTGAATCAATGGGACATGCTATAGAAAACAGGGACCCCTACCTGGTTTCTTCAGCGAAGTGAACTTGATATCCCAGTTCGTGACCGGTCATTTTGTGGCCCGTAGGGTTGGTCGCAAACAGGGACTGCAAAGGTTGGTCAGTGAACTGAAGAAGCGAGGTGTCCAAAATTCATCAGAGGATTGGTTTGGGCATGTTTGGACCTTTTGGGTCAAGCTAATATATGTTTATATAGAGATACGTGCTCAAAGGACAAGGGCAGCAATACCGTGTAAAGCATGTTGAATTGTCTATGCTGCCTGAAGACTGAAGAAGTGGGAAAAACACCAAGCCACTGGCACAATAAGCAACATGGCAGTTCCTTACACAGCACCTTTAGAGGGTATATGTCGCCTTCTGGAAGAACATCGTCAAATATCCTTTGCAATCCAGCAGAATCTAGCCAACAGGGCCCACGCGAGCTTGAGAAAAGCCCGCAGGTGCTGTCTTCGCGTTGCTACACACGTTGGCATAACGATCTGCTGATGACATACCTGATTTCATGTCTATCCACTCATCCACATCCCACATGATCCGCGTCACTGAGCCGGCTCTCGTCCACATAGGGTCCACGGCGCTCGGCGCCGGTGTAGTACCGGGAAGAGATGAGGAGCTCGTCATCCAAGGTCCAGTCCTCAGGTGCTTGTCTAGCAGGCTTCTGGCGGGCGAGCCCCAGGAAGTCGGTTGAACCACACTCACTGGTTCTTCTCGTGGGTGGGGCTCGGTTGGTTCCTGCCTTCGTTTCGGTTCGGTTCGTTGGGGTGGGGTGGTTGGCAGGGGGTTGGTTCCTGCCTTCGGGTTGGATGTGGGAGCCTTAAGGCGTAACAAGGTGAGGCGTTTGCTGGTGGTGCAGGTGGGAGGCTGGGAGGCTTTCAAGTGCGCTGTGGAACACAGTTGGGCCTCTTACAGGGTGAAAATAACCACAACATATTCGAGGAACACATCATATTGGAAGTAGAAAGCCCTCCTCTTTGTGGAGGAAAAATGGTCTTCCAGGGGCCCATGGTTGACTTCTATGTTGTTATTTTGTCGACTCTTTTGGCATGGGGTCTTTGGAACGTGCGAGACAAAAAACATGTGGAACGTCATCGATGGAACCACGTGGCGACATAGGAACCACGTGGAGGATCTACGGGTGGTGCGACCTGTTTAAGTTCACGGGTGAAAAAACACCTTGGTCCGTCTCAACCCATCAGCCACCTTCGGTCCCATAGATCAACAACCCGAGCTGTGGGAGCTGTTTGGAGAGAAGTACAGGATAAGAAGATAAACGTCTGAGTCAAAAGTAGCGTATGAGTTTGTATTTTAATAGGGAGACCAAACTTGTCTATTTCCTTTCTTCCACAGGTTCGTTGACTGAGAGGTCTCCCTATTTTAATACACACCCAAATAATGAACACACACAGTTACAGTCAAGTCTGAAATGTTTCTGAGATCTGGCAGGGACTGATTTCTCAGAAATGGTCCATCCTGGAAGGTCCATTTAAGGTGATGATGATACCGTCCTGTCTTTGGAACCTTGCAGCCGTGGGCGCCCGCGGTTGGATCTTTTAACCAATGAGTAGTAAAGGATAAATGGTGCAAGGTCTGCTACAAATCTTGTTCTGTCAGAACTGAGACAATCCCAGATGTTGAGTAAGTCCTATTCACTATGATCGTGAATGGTTCACATGAGGCAAAACATGGTCAGGTTCGGGTTGGAACAAGTGTGACCCAGCGAACGTTGGATGAGTTCACCTGCGAGCCAAGAATAACTTCCAAGACCCAGCAGCTACCACCAGGTTTGGGATCTGCTCCATTTTGTTGGACTCTGAGTTCAGGAGCCATGTGGGTGACGTGGGATCCTCGGCTGGTTTTTGTCGCACACGCTTGGGGTGAAAAACCGGTGGGTGGTGAAACCGCGTCACCTGAAGACTTGTGGGGTTGCCTTGGTTCTGGTTTGGTTTAAAGATGTTCAAAGGGACCTAGTTGGTTCAGTGCAAAGGAGGGATATCGGGAACATCTGAGAATTCCATCTTCGGAACCTCTTGTTGCTCGGCCCTTCGCTGGCTGACACATCTGCAAACCCGGAGGAGTTGCAAACCGGAGGAGGCAGGCCCTGTTGGGTAGAGACGAAGATGGCCCCCCACCCCAACAAAAAGGACTTGACGTGGTTTTCTCAACTAGTGGGACTCCAGTACGACCTTTTCAGAGAACAATCCGACCTTTTCAGATCAAGAGGGCAGAAGGATGCTTGGTTGTCGGGTCCTTTTTTGGAGAGCTTCTTCTTTCGTCATCAATTCAGCTTCTAGGACCCTAGGAGCTCTGACCATGTCCCTCCGTCAAGCAAGATTGTAGCATAATTGGTGAGGCGTGGCTTGGGGGATCCAATAATGTCCGGCCAAGTCTAGTTTGAGTGGGACTTCCCACAAGTCGTTGGTTCCTTCAAAATCTTCAAAGGGGGAACAGGATGTCCCCGGCACCAAGCCGCTTCCTCCAAAACATGCCCAACCAACATGAAGGAGCCCATCTCTGATGGAGCCCTAACTCTCACAGCAGGTCAAGGCACGAAGCAAGAACTCTGCTTGTAGACACCATGCCTCGCCCCAAAAAAGCAAGGTCTCCATGCTCCGAAGAGATATTCATCGACAAACTCACCCCAAAAAATCGGCAGATTTGACCCGAAGAAGGGGCAGCTGGTGGGCGAATCAACCTTCCCTAGGCCCTAGGGATCCAGTGCCACTTCGGAAGGTATCGGTATATATATATATATATATATTGAGCCCGACGCGGGCGTCTACATAAATAGTCTCCAATCACCTCAGAAGGTATGTGGATCCATACTCCTTGGGTATCTATCCCTGTACTACTTGAATGTGAAGCTCACGTGGCTTTAAAATGGGGAGCAGCAGGGCCACTTGGACGAATCCAAAGTTTCGCAAAAGAACATGGATGAACATGGTATTGTGGATATATCGCGGTACCCTGAGCATCCATGGACTCCCTCCCTCCCTCCCTCCCTCCCTATAGGTTTCTTGCAATCAACTCCAAGTATTCTGAAGGCGCTGGCCAAACTTTGGATGCCTCCTAAAGAGGTATACATAGAATGCGGAAGAGTTACCTGTGACCATTGTCCTACAGTATTGGATTTGTTCAAATCTCCTGTTCAGGATGACTATGCACCCTCCAGAAACCCGACATGGACTATGAAGGCATGGAAAAATGGATTGCTGGAGGACTCTTTCCTTCGCACAATTGCTTTCTGCTTGTTCCAACTGCCCCAACTGCCCTACTAAAACACCCCATGCCCCTCCCTTCCATCAGCGACGAAGCACATTCCAGCGATGGAGAATTCCACTAAGAGACAGCGTACCGAGGAATTGGTCACCTTGCGGTTCGGAAGACCGCAGAAGATGGTCACTTCGGAAGACCGCAGCTCGAGCAGCTCAGACGGGAAGGAGTTGATCTCATCGAAGACGAGTTCTTCGTCTCGCAACTGGTTCTGGATCCGTCTGATCCCCATCCAAATAGTCTCTTGGCTCACGAATTCTGAAAAACCAAGGCTTTAAGGGTCTGATGCTTCTTTTTTCTTCCCTAAACTGATGGGTCCAAGAAGCAAAGGGATTCCCTGCATTATCCATCCAGTATCCTCAAATGAGGCCCAAAGAATCTCCCTGGAACTAACACATGGAAGCGAATGGCCTGGCCACTTGGAAGACAATCTTCCTCTACAAACAGGGGGGGTCCACTTCCATGTTAAAAAGTCGCCAGCTACTGGAGGACACCATCAAATTCCATCAACCAACTCCTGGATGTCTCCTGGATGTAGGTCAATTGTCGTAGAGAGATGTAGAGAAAGTACCACGGACCGGTCTTTACCCTCTGCACGAGCAGAATTTGTGCATATACTATACTGTATGATATACAGGACTCTATATGATTCAACGGTGAGTTGGCACTCGGTGGGGAGGTTGTGCACAACTTTGCTGGGGTTGTGGGCGCAAGCGCCCCCAAAAAAACAACATGCTAGTCAATACCGTGTCAATGGCCATCTACTGGGAAGACATGATCAAACAGATGATCATCGACAACCAAGTCTACAACCACCTAAAAGGAAGACTGTCAGCTTGCGATCCAAGCTCCAGGGCTTTGACAAGTCACCGAATGCGATAGAAGTTCCAATCGCTTGTAAAGCTCGTAGACCAAGGGGTTATGCCCTAACCTCAGTTGTTGGAATCGTCGTTCTAGTGAGGAATTTGTTCTGATGCCAACATGTCCAAGAGTTTTCTGCTACAGGTTTTGGTGATCGATTTGGAATGAAAGAGTTTGATCTCAATAGAACGGCGGCCTGCAAAGATCAAAGGGGGTGTAACAGGAATCTCCCAAGCAGACTGGATCATTGGAAGCAAAGGTTCACAAGTACCTTGCAGCGATGCGTAGGTCATATGATCTATATAATGTTTCGTATCAATGATGTGTATTGTTGGTGCACTGGGCTTCAGTCTGCAGTGTTTTATCACGTTAGGGCAGGCATTCACAAAAAGGACCCTGACTCTGGAACGTGCACGAGCTTTTAATTTTGACATTTGGTTGTTCGTTGGAAGTTGATGTATTTACGTACGCCGCCACCAGCTGCCAAAATTCACTGTTCATGGAAGAGTTTTCTGCACTGCATCTCCCCCCACAAACCGCACAAAGTTTCACCAGCGGTCTCCCAACCGAAAACACAAACCAAACAGAAACTCCAAAGGTGACTGATCACGTGTGGCAAATGATTTGTGATCTTCATATTCTCGTCTGGTTGATCTGTGTACTTTCTTTTCACAGATCGAAAACCCTCCACACATCTGGTTTATTTGTTTGGAGCTCCATCTGTACAACAGATTCCTAAATCAATCACCAGAAAAATGCGGTATCACAGGTCCATCTTTCCACCAGGGTGCTTCATCTGCGACACCCAAGCCTCAAAGCGTCCCTGGCAGATCTGTTGCTTCAGGCTGCCCTCGGGAGGCACCCCCGTGGTGCGGCTCGTCTCAGGCGCCTGCGGTGGTGCCAAAAGGGAGGGAATATCAATTCCAAGGAGACCGTTATGAGTAACAATGATGTCTAGAATATGTGAAGCACTGCGGCCTCTAGAGTGACCCTTTGTTCTGGAATAAACACATATACAATTTTGACAAACATGACCAAAAGGAATCAAATCCATTTTATTCATTTTTATTCTATGCGTCAGGCGGCCAGACGGAGAAACTCAAGGGTCTCCCTGAATCAGGCGATTCAATGCTGATCCATATCTGTGAAGAAATGCCATGGTGCCGCATCTTTGAACATCGAGAACCTTGATCAGTTTGATTGTTGGAAACTGGTAAAACTTCAAAAACAGATCATAGATCATGATATATATTCCTTGGAGGACGGAGGACATGGCCAACCTGGCCGATGTCTTGAAGATCACACACAAGGTCAACTCCCGAGACGGAGATCGTCGGGACATATTCAAGATCAAACCTAAGTGTCCACCGGTGGAAGTGCTGAGTGGGGGTCCCCAATCCGCACGGAAAAACAAATCCACTGAACTCCTGGCTATGCACTCCTGTGAATCTCTCGCCATGACTCATCGGAAAAACAGACAGAGCGATGATTCCTTGAGACTGGAAGATTTACCTATGGCCCCTCAAATCAACCACCTCAATGTAAATATGCCAGTCACAAACAGGTTGTATCTGGGCTTTTGGCATGGATATGTTCATGTTTCATCAGGTTTCCATGAGAACCAACCTTCCGAGATGGATCCTTCTTCAAATATCTCCCCATCCGCCACAGGCCTCCTCGACCTCCTTAGGAGTCCAGTCATGTGAGATGTTCAACAGCCCAAGTATACATGTACGAAACCTGATTGAAACACTCTTAAGACTGCTTTAAGGAGGATTGATTTTCCTATCAATGTTGGGTTACTATAAATAGTACTGAACCATAATACTGAACCCGGGACACATGTGAGAATTCGATGTAAATGCTTGTCCATCAGCTCTAAAGCTGACCTTAAAGGCAACCGACTAGAGGCAATTAATCTTCAAACGGAAAGTAGGAGATCTGATGCAGGGTTTTAGCAGCAGGTGCATATATATATATATATATATATACATACCAAAACCTTCAAAAGTCCACCACATGTAGAAATATGATGAAATATGTAAAAAACAACTTCTCGTGGGTGAGTATCTGCATGATTATCACCCATGGGAAAAAAAGTCTTCATCCAAGACCTTTGGATTGATCGATGCACGGTTTGAACTTCCCCATGTTGTGCCCGACGGTTGGCGATCCTGCCCAACTGCAGTAAATGCAATCCTTCCTCCTCCTTCCCTTGGCAGAACAGAACACCTTTGAGTGCTCTTAGCTCAACTAACTGGCTCAACTGGGTGCCACTGGGTCTCTTCTCGCGGAGGCTGACGGTCAATTCCGGAGGTGTCACGAACAACTCTCCCATCGATGTGGGATCGCAAACATGATGAACTAAGGACATGTTCCTGGGAGATCTAGCCCGACCACACACACATCCTTTCAAATCCAAAGCGCGACCCCACATGACTCTCCACCGGTCGTCCCCACTGGGGATGGTGCCAAATGCCACCGTTTTCCGAGGGGGTCTACCTCAATTTGCCTCGATTTGCCTCATTATAAACCATAAAGAGCCCTTGGTCACCCCTAACTCACCCCTCTTTCCACTGAAGCATCTGTGATGTTTGGGGGGTCAAATCACCTCAAAACGCCGCCGACTTGGGCGAACACATTCCAAGTCGCGTCGATGTCATCCGCGCTGTTCCCGTCATCGAACTCGTCTGCTTCTAAAGACGAATACCTGGTGTCGGGTCTCAAAGCTGAGGAACAAAAGGAACAAACAGGTGAACTACGACTGGTAGGATCTAGTAGGGAACCAGTGCTTCCAATGACTCAATAGGTACGAAGACTAGAGATGCATGGAAAAACAAAACCTGTGCTTGTTGGTATATAGTTAACCATAGTTAACCTTTAACTGGAATTCATCTCGTCTTTCCACGTTCCCGGATGCCAACCGCTCAAGCGTTTGGTGGTTCAAGACTTCACCTTTTGCCAAAAGGATGTGCGAAGGTCAGAGTGTACACCTTCTGATTGAAGCAAATCGACTTTCAGAAGCAATTTTGGCTTCAAACAATGCACTTTCTTGAAATTTGTTTTTGCTTTGATTTCTCATGAAGCAGGAGGAATCTGGGAGGGTGCTGACAAACCTCATTTGGGGAAAACAAAAGACAATTGAAGGAGCATATGATACCAAAAGCCACGTGCTCAAGTTTCTGTGTTTTCCATCAAGTGCAGGGTGGCTTGAGGTTCTATTCTATTTCCCTGATGTCGAGACACTGAACTGGCCCCACGGAGAGCGAATCCATGGCATCTGTAATTAGCACTTTTCGGAACTGATCGGGTTGAATCCAATGACCTCGACTTGATTGCTTCATTTCAGCTTTGCTTCACTTCCAAAGTCAAGTGCATATCAGGGCATTTTGCAGCTTTTTTTAAGGACCATCTTCCGTCTGAAAAAAACAAGAGGCTCCCCTCTAACCATTTGCTTCAGGCGGGTGCAATGAGGTCGTCCTTGTTGATTCTCTTCGCTTTGTGCACAGCTTGCTTCGTGGTTGTGGTTTTGCACACTACATGATCAAAAGCCACCTGTAAGGAGGGCTGGCGCTGCCAAAGGATGAAATCGAGTGCTTCAGATCCTTCCCTCCTATAGGCTCCTATCGAAATCGGGTGATCCTTCGCTGTGCGACACACTGATCGCTGATGGAGACGTACCGTGGAGACGTCCCGTTGAGACGTAACATGTGCCCGTTGAATCGAAGAGTTTCGACCACAAAGGGCAAGGGTGAAGTGGAACATCACCTTGGCCCAGTGGCCCCATGCACAAAAGAAAGGCATACTAGTAACAGGTGCATCGCTACTAGTACTACTAGTAGCAAATATATATCTACTAGTAGCATCTTGTTACTAGTAGTCATGAACTTGTGACTAGTAGGGATGTACTTCTTACTAACAAAAAGAAAGTAGGCATTCCTGCAACACTTTGTCTACCAACTTCCAGGTGTCTTATCCAGACCGACTTCCGGGCCCTTCATCAATCTCATGCGTTCCGACCGACTTGACTTGACACCCATTTTTGCTTTTTTCTGTGCGCAGAGTCATCGGTCACATCGTTGGCTGTACATGGCGTGTGGCCGGTGCACACCGCTTCGATGTTTTTGGGATCTGCGTGCTCCGACGGAGTTGCTCGGCTGATGTGACGTATCTCTCACATTTTCACCCCACCAGATTGGGCATGGCACCAAAGATTCAAGAATCTCTCAATTGACCAGGTTGCATCCCAAGAGAAAATGGCGGAATTGTTGATTGGAGACTATCCAATTGGACTGACGCCCAACTGTCTCCACTTGACATGGGATAAATAGGACTGGACATTGTAGAGCAGCTTTCCTCTGCCCTGGCGACATGTTGTCTCTCTCTCTCTCTCTATATATGTTTATATGTTGACAATGAACATGAAGGTATCGCCTATATGTATGTGTGTGTGCGCGTGATGCGAGCCATATATAGTATGTTCCAAGTTCTATAAATATACACAGGGAAGGAAAAATGAAGAAAGTACGTATGTTCACCGTCCATTTGCGTATGCCTGCTTAAACATAGAGACCCCCTACTAGACCCCCTGGACCATTTCTACTTCAATGCGTTGTGACTCCGGAATGTTCCGACCACCTTCACCAAAGGGAGACCGGCGATGCAGGGCTGGCCGAGCCCATCAGGAATTCAAACGAATGAATCGAAAGCCCACGGACTCCCAAATGCCCATGGTATGTGTTTTATTGCTCTTATCTTCCTCTGATGAAAACCGGCAACGCCCCCTGCCAAGTGGCAACACTGCAAATGGATCAGTTTCAACGCTTTAAGGCTTTAAGTCCCTGGTTCTGCAAGGGGGCACGTAAGCGGCGGATAGTTCAGCAAATCGCATGTGGCACCAAGAACTGTTCGAAACACAATCCTGAAACAAGGTGGCAATCGAAAGATACATCAAATCAGAAGACCTTCAACCATCAAAACGCTTGTGTCTTGTTTCATACAGGGTTATAACACATTACAAAACAAAACAATTTTTCCCCAATTCCAATCAAAAGACCTTCAACCGCAGTACACCTGAAACATTCAAACCGTGGCCAATTGTGGTTATCCACTAAATAAGTGTTCGCATGCATCTCAGCCGGGCCGCCCTTTCTCGGCTAGCTCTGCCCCGTCCGCTTGTTGCTCAGACGAGCAAGTCCGAGGCCAGGCAGGCTCATGTGAAAGCAGGCCAATCTCAGATAGATAGTCCCTGGCCGGAGTTGCTCTCCAAAAGCATACACTCAAACTCCCACTCCCCCCACAATGTGGTAGCACGAAGGCCGGATGTCACCCATTTCAAGGTGTTTGGGACTGTGCCCATTCCATCGCGTTCGGCATCAGGTTTCGGACGCTTGGTTTCGAACGTGAACACAGGAGCTGAAGGGTTCTAGTCCATTGGACATAGAGAATGAATGTGGGAGAAGTCAACCAAACGCAGAGAACAAAGGTTGCTTTTGTAAGTTATTTTTGTTTTTTGATTGAATGACGTCTTTTGTAACCTTCTCTCCGTGTCTACCATGGCCGCAGAATAGTTGCATATTCTATTTGACCTAGGAACATTTGATGTCCAAGTACACCATGTGTTGCATGTAGATCACATAATATAGAAGGAAGCAATCCAGAGAGGGCTCAATCTTTGACTGGCAAAAAGGCAAGACCAATCCCCATCCAAACAAAAATAAAATTATCACTTCAGTTCACCGTGGAGGTCTCAGGGGTCTCAGGGGTCACCCAAGGTTGACACCTGGGGTTTTCGGCCTCAGCGAACCTTGAAGTGGGATGATCGGCTGCAGAGATATGGACAAGGTACTGGAAAAAGGTGTTGTTTGTTCAAATTATCCAATCATCGTTGTAGTTCTTGCCTAACTTATATATATATATACTTACACATGTTTTACTTAACTTATCTTTGTCATTTTCGACACCTCTCATCCCAACCAACCTAGTCGCCTTTAACCAAACTCCTGAACCCGTCGTCTTCCAAAAGGCTCCGCTCCCTCTTAACCCGTCGTCTTCCAAAAGGCTCCGCTCCCTCTTCCGCTTCGAATCAGCATTGGCAAAAGCTTGTCTGACAATCAAGCAGGCTAACAGATGCAGGCATGTGCTCGTGACAAACCTCATCCAACAACCTGTGTCCAACAACATAGAATAAAAAGAATTCTGTAGTGTGAAACATAACTGAGGAGGTGCTACCTCCATTGAACATGGACTATATCTGAGAAGTACGTTCCAGTTCCTTCAAATTTGACGAGCAGATCCTCTGTCCGGATATCCAGGTTGGCCAGCATGTAAGACAAGAGGGCTAAGAATCCAGTCGTGGCCTGGAACACGAAGCGTGCGATGAGCTGTGTATCTATCAGCACGCCAAACATCTCCACACCTGTGGAAGGCGTTCGGCTTCTGCTCCACACTCCGGTGTGAGAAAGGGCGTTGTTTCGATGTGGTTTCAAATAGAAAACCAATCATGAAGAGAAAAAACATAGCCATTTAAACTCCACCATCTGAATCTTAGGGGACCAAGCAAAATCATGCGAATGCTTTAATGGTCGAAGTCCACCACAAGTCGACCACATTGACCATAGGGAACCGCTATGGACCGGCTCCCACGTGCTTACGCTCTCATGGACATTTGTCCATGAAAGCGCATCCGTTGCGGCGCTTGGGATCAGAGGAACTCAACATGTCTCCAACCCTAGGGATCCACATCCACCTTCTCAGAAGGTACGACTGAGCCCTACAGAAATAGACCGTAATAGACCGTAATCACCTTCTCAGAAGGTGTGTGGATCCATAGGGAATAATATCAAACAATCCATTATTGAAAAAAAACATGTCAAGCAGGCCAGCTTGCCCCCTATCAGTATCGATGACTCGAAGTTTGAGTTCAGCCAGCTAGCGGACAGCCGAGAAATCCTCCCAAAAATTGACTTGAGATAGGAAGGGACGCTAGAATCCCAAAAAAAACAAGACTCAAAACTCTCCTATAGATCCTGTCTCCATCTATATATATATATATATCCCAAACTTCCCAAACCGCGCGGTCACAGGCGGTTTCTCACTTGTACCCTTTCCGAACGAAAAAGGCGTCTGCCTGCACGATTGGCCATCAAATAGGTGAGGAATCGCGCATGATCGGAACGCTCCTTGGCGATGCTGGAGTAGCCAGCCCTCTGCAAACCAGCTTCAGTGCAGGGACTGGGGCCAGATTTGCCAATGGCATAGGAGAGGATGCTGCGAGTATCAGCTCGAGTGGACATACACATCCTGAGTGCCAGTCTGGTCAACCTTCTACTACTAGTACATACTTCCATGGCGCTGGCAGATTTACCAACTGATGGGCCAATCGCAAGCAGTCGAATGGATTGAAACAATCCGGAATGAATCCATCCAGGCAAAGGCCATTGAAAAACAGGAATACTCTAGACTCTAATTATCCATAAAGTCCCCTGTTGCGGATGGAGATAGGGAAGTGGACCAACATATCCTTTTCGTGATGCCATGCTGAAGACAACTTCTGCAATTGTCGTGTTCTCTCTAGAAGACGAACGCAGCCATCGTGAGTGCTGAACTTAGGGTGGTGATATGCAAAACCTTGACAGTAATGTTGGAACCCTTTTTTCGTCTTAAAGGGGCGGGAACCAAATAAATAAACATCTGAAACATGGTCATTCGCCCAAGTCGCTTGGTCACTCCCGCCATTTCGCTCAAACGCTGTGCGAAGCTGAAGACATTGGCACAAATCAGGAAGAAGCCAGTAAAAGCGACAAAGGCGTTCTGGCTGGTGACCACTGCAGATAAGCAAGCGACCAAACCGATCAAACCAACAATAACATTGTTGGCTAAATATGGCAAGACAAACCACATTGCCAGTGTCCAAGCAGTTTCGAGCAAACCTGTGCGGCAAAGAAGCGTCAAGCGAGTGCACAGCTGACAAGTATCCTTCAGTGAAATTGTCTGGCAGCTGTCAGCCCCTTAGTATATAAAGATACAGATAGAATCAATCTACCGGGATCTGCTTGCAAGGCGGGGTTCTTTCCCTTCTACAGGTATCGACTACAGTAAATAAGCCTGCCCTCCCGATCCTACTCATCCACAGCCCAAGGACGATCCATCTGCTGGTGCTTCTGGGTCATCACTTGCCAGAACTGTCCAGTGCCCTTCCATGACTCTGGACCAGCTTCGATGTCGTTCATCATTTGCTCCACGAGAGAGCGGCTCAAGTGCAACACCAAGGCCCGCGGAATAGAGTAGCCAGGAATGTAAAAGACCACAAAGCCCAATAGGAGCCTCTGAAATGACACTATCCTCTCATATCCTCTCAAAAAAAATAAGGATATGTAAGGAATCAAGCTGAATGCCACGCTAGCCTGAAGGAAACCAAAGACATCTGACGTGTGTAGGATGATCTACAATTGAAGGCAGCTTGTGATTCTAAACATAATCTCAACAGAAACCACACATGTATTTCAATATCCAAAGATCCATATTCAACCATATCAAATTTCCCCCAATTCCATCCACGGCTCCAAGGGCCCACACAGAAGAGGGTAATCATGGATAATCTATACTTCGTGGCAAGATTCTGGAGCGTTTGTGCTATTCTGCGTGTTTTTGGCCCAGTAGCAACCATGCAAGAAGATAGATTGGATCCGACGAGAAGGCAGGGCTTAGAGGAAGACCCAGCAGAAGACCGTGCGTCACAAGCCTCCTGCGATTCGGGAGTTTGGTGAAAAGGCTCCGTGAAGAGTTTGTCTCTTTGGCATGCTAGCTACTTGGCAGGATTGTCTGCTGCAATTCCTTTGGATGAATTCAAACCTTCTCCTGAACAGCTGCATAATTGATTCTGTGTCGAAACGGTGGTCGAGAGAAGTGCCACCTTGTTCCTGGAGCTGTGGCATGCCAAGAACCACTCATCCTTTCTAGCCCAAGAGTAAACATATATAATGACTAATTAGTAATTAGACATCGTCCCTCGTTGTATAATGCTAGAGCATGCACCATTCATGGTCCAAACAAGATAAGCAAGTGTCTACATGTTGTGCGTTTCTAGTGCTTTCAAAGCTTCGTATTGCAAAAGCTCTCTGAAAGCATCGCTCTGTAAGAGTGAAGAAGCCCCTCTGGCAGCGCACATTGCTGATACTGTGGCCAAACTAAACATCCCAGCGACCACGCAAGTCACCTTCCTGCGGCTTTGAAACAGAAACACCCGGCAATTCGACAATAGTGACCCCGCAACTTACATACGACCCAAGGCGTGCCAAATGGAAGCCCTTTCCGTGGGTATGGTCCATGGCGCAGTTGATGGTCCTGGTAGAACAGCCAATCTGCTTTAAGGATGTCTTGTGAATGGTTCTGGTCCTCTTTTGAGATACGCCCCGGTGAGTGACATCCAAGTTTCGAAGGGAACGGCGATGCGGACCTGCCAGAATGGGTGGGATCCTCAAAATCAACGACGTATTCATTTTTTGCAGCCAAAGAGCACTGCAAAGCCACCGGAAAAAGGAAAAACTCCAACCCCGCAAAAACCGTGCAAAACTCATCTGCTTCTCTTGAGCTGTCTAGCATCTCCTAACCCCCAACATGACTCCTTAAAGGTGAACGCGATCGCCCCCCGCCCGAGCGTCCGTCCCATGACGTTGGCAATGCCCTCATTTGGATGCAGTGTGCAATAGATGCAAACCGCCAAGGTGGCCAATGCCCAAAGTGACCCCGGGCGAGCAAAGCAAAAGTGCTGGAGCCACCACCTTTTGGCAACAGGATGGTTTTGCGCTTCTAAGAAGAGTTTTCCAGTGAAATGTTATGCGCATTCAGAGAAAGAAAGACGACGAAAAGATGCAAAAAAGGGACATTCCTAGCGACTGTGGCTTTTAGAGCCAAATACACCTACCTCAAAATCTTTGTCAGATCGTGTATATACCCGGACCATCAACCAGTGTCCAATGACCAATGGACTAGCCTGGTAGTCCATTGGACACCTTTTGGATGGTCCTGGTAGGGGTAAGGGGTTATTGAAACACATACTCATACAATTGTACAACATTGTATACATAGGCCAAAAAGCCATATGTACCTTAATCGAAGTGTCAGTTGCCAACTTGGCTGACTCTCCCGTACATCGCAGCGTATTCGGGGGGGCAAACGGGCAATTGTGGAGGTTCCCAACTGGCGTTTGTCCGGATGGAGCCTGTTCTCTGCAAAAATGGACAACAAGCTTGCGGCAATTCATACGTAAAACAAGGATCGAACGACTGCTTAGCGCTTGATTCAGCTCACATTCCCATACTATAGTTGAAAGATTGGCTATAACCAGCTGTTCTCTCAGGGAGGACAGTTCGACTCCAGGTCACTTGGAGACTCTGACCAAATCTGGAAGATCTCACAAAACGTCCCTACGCTACGGCCAAACAAACCTTATTCCTTCACTGGAATCTTGATTGATCACTGGCAAAGTGGCTTCCAACTCAAAAGTAAAAAAACGAACCAACTGCACTTTGGATGCAGAAAGGCAAAAGGGTGGACATGCAACATACAGTAAACAAAAAATTAACAGTAACATACAACAACATACAATAAAGGCAACAAAACTTGAAATCTACAATGTCGCCCGTCCTGGTCTTTGGCCCCAAGAGTCTCTTCCTCAGTTCCGAGGGCTGCTTCACCGAATCTGCCAGCTTATGTGACCTTTTGGACGTAAGTGACCTTCTACAGGCCCACTAACTAGTCGTGACTGACCAGGGCATCCAAGAGGTCGTGTCAAATCTGACCAGGGCATCCAAGCACGATGGACCTGTCCCCGTGTTCGCCAAAAATACCCTTCGTCAAGATGACGAACCCACCGGATCTTTTCCGTGGACCTCTGCAGCAAACCTCAGCCTTCCAATGGCAACCTCGATGGTGGCAAATGTGTCTCGTCAGTGGTGTGTCCGTTTCGAACCAGAACGATCCTTTTTCGATCCGTTAACGCCCACAATGACATCCAGGATTCTCTTCCAGCTCTTGCCAAACACAAAGCTCTGCTCCTTTGGGGTCTTCCACTCGGAGTGGATCATAAGCCATGGCGGCGATAGCCATGAGGCTATACTCCCAGCTTCGGAGACACAGTGCGGCCGCAGTTAGGGGCTTGGTGTCGCTGGTGTCATCTAGAGGAAACGCCTAGGCTGAAGGATCGTGTGAAGGCTTGAATGTCCAAATCACTTGATTTTTGATGTCATGCGATCACATGATTGCATGCCATCACATGCTGGGGCATATGGTGTTGAATCACACGTCCTGCACATGTTTGGCTAGGCTGGACCTCCTTTTTTGGGGCACCCCAACCCAAAGGTCCTGATTCATCAGCAGGTCTTAAAGGCGTCTTCATGTTCGGTGCCGTCTGTTTGGGTCGCCTGAGGTGCGGCATGTTGGACCAAGATCTTGTGCTTGGTCCGCGGTCCGCTCGAAGGCCAAACGCCGCGGCGGTGAACGTTTTGTCACAAAAAACAGAGGCAGTGAACAAGCAAACTGTGCTTTATACATTCTTGATTCTACCATCTAAAACATCAAGAAACATGTTTTCTGACCATTGTTCGAACATCGACCTCCGCCCTGCTTCTTCTCCTCGCAAATATCCGGTTTCTCTATATATTGTGAGATGTTCCTTGCAATTCCAAAGCCTCTATTAATGCTAACAGAAGTCATTGCCCGACGAAGCAAAGAAACCCCAAAGATCGTGCTGAACAAACGATGCAGGTTCAAATTCTTCCCCACTACCGTCTAAAGATTTCAAGTGTGTGTTTCGAAGATGTTTGCCGATTTTTGTTGGTGGAATGCCTGCAGAACACGACCTGACTTTTCCAACCACCCCCCAATGCAGAGTGGGCCACCTGACTCTAAGACTCTCTAAGAGACACAAATTGAAGACTGTATATCTGATGTGTGGTGCAACTAGGCTAGTACAAACCTTGACGATCAAGCTCAGGGAACCTGTTTCTTTGCTGCCTTCGCAGTATGAAGCAAATCTCACTGATTGAGCAATAACTATTTCGGTAGATGAAGCATCTCCGAGAAGTAGTGTCCAGATTCTTCCAATTTAACGACCAAATCCTCTGTGCCGATATCCAGGTTGGCCAGCACATAGGACAAGAGTGCCAGGAATCCTGTAAAGGCTTGACCCACAAACCGTACAATGAGGTCTGTATCAACCAGCACGCCAAACATCTCCACACCTGCGCAGCAAATGTGTCACTTACTGTGGACGTTCTTGCCATTCTTCACCCCCTGGCTCCGAGCGATCGTCGAGCCTGGACCCGACCCGGAGAGACGGTGTGACAAAGAAGACACATCCCCACTATAGGGGATTCAATATGTTTCAAATGAGCTATGTAGAACTAGACGACGGGTGGCCCGAGAGCCAGACATGTGATTGTCCAGACGTCATCGCTCGACGCAGCTTCAGGCTCAAACTCTTCAATTGCTCCACGGAACACCGTGAACAGGGGATTTGCCAGCAATTCCGAGTAAGCCGATAGTTCACATCGACTTGTCCCAGACTCTGGATGCAAATTAAAATATTAAGAGAAAAGATGTGTAGAAAGAGAGAAGGAGAGAGCGGATGTGAAGGAGTGACAGTGTGGATGTGCAGGTGAAAAGATGTGTAGAAAGAGAGAGGGAGAGGGCGGATGTGAAGGAGTGACAGTGTGGATGTGCAGGTGTGATATAGATGCGCAGATGTGTGGAGGTGGAGAGGTACATATGCAGATGTGAGCATGTCAAGATACTCTCGTGGGACACTCTCTCTGGGACACTCTTTTGGGTCACTCTTGTGGGTCACTCTTGTGGGAAGCTCTTGCGGGGCACTCTTTTGGGACACTCGTTACTACAAAGTCCCCAATTCTCATCTTCCAGCTCCCCAGCTGCTACTCCGCGTACTACAGTTGCAGTACAAAGTCGCCAGTTCTCATCTTCCAGCTCCCCAGATACACGCGTGCATGGGACTCATCGCCCTGTCGCCTGCACTTCGCGCACTCGATACGCACGATCTCCGCAGAAGGTCGCGCCGAACAAAACCAAATCGCACTCTCGCCTGCATTTCGCGCACTCGACATGCACGATCTCTGCAGAGGGTTGCGCCGGGCAAAACCAAATCGCACTCTCGCCTGCATTTCGCGCCCTCGACACGCACGATCTGCGCAGAGGGTTGCGCCGGACAAAGCCAAATCGCACTCTCGCCTGCATTTCGCGTCCTCGACACGCACGATCTCCGCAGACGGTTGCGCCGGACCGGGACAAATCGCACTCTCGCCTGCATTTCGCGCACTCGACACGCACGTGCAGAGGTTTGCCTGCGACTGGGACAAATCGCACTCGCCTGCATTTCGCGCGCTCGACACGCACGATCTCCGCAAAGGGTTGCCCGCGACCGGGACAAATCGCACTCTCGCCTGCATTTCGCGCGCTCGACACGCACGATCCCCGCAGAGGGTTGCCCGCGACCGGGACAAATCGCACTCTCGCCTGCATTTCGCGCCCTCGACACGCACGATCTCCGCAGAGGGTTGCGTTTCGTGGCGGTCCGGCGGCACTGCCCCTGGCCTTAAGAGAGAAAGTTAAGAAGAGCGAGAGGTGAAGATGTGAGATGTACATGAGAGGTAAAGATGTGAGATGTAGATGTGAGGATGTGAACATGAGCAGAGATGTTGATGTGTGAAGATGAAGATGAGCAGAGATGTCGATGCGAGGCTGTGAAGATGTGCAGAGATGTAGATGTGCAGTTGTGAATGTAGATGTGAAGATGAGCAGAGATATAGGTCAGAATGTGGATGTGCGGAGGTGAAGATGTGAAGATGTAGATGAGACGTAGTTCTGCAGATGTTTTTTTGTTTTTACGAAGAACCCTTCGCAAACGCTCTCGGGAAAAACAACAACATGAAACCTGTTGAACAACACTAAACAAAGATGTGGGTGCCTTGGGTGTGACACGCATTGCAAAGACTTGGCAAACATCAACTTCAGCTGCATGGGGAACCTCCTACAGTACTAGAATGGTTCTTCTGATCTCTTTGTCCAAGAGCATATAGGGCTTGGGGCATGTTCCCATTCACTGGGAGCCAAGCTCCCTGTGTGAAAGGGCAAAATAGGTCACACGAGTCACACTACACCATAGGCCATGGGAATGATCCGAAACGCTTTTTCATGTGTGCTTGGATCTCTCTGCAAGTCGTGACCTGAACGTCAGCTGCACCAGTTGCTCTCTTCATCGGGAAAACGTTTCAGGGGTTGCTACAATCCCAAGTACAGCCACACGTCCTTCATCCAGAAGGAGAGCTACAGCTATAGCAGCAAGTATCGTATCGGTATTCACGAAACGTGCGAATAGACCTACTTTGCCCTTTTTGTCTTTTGTGCCTGCACGATTGGCCATCAAATAAGTCAGAAAGCGCGAATGATCTGAGCGCTCCTTTGCGCAACTGGAGTAACCAGCAGTCTTTAAACCAGCTTCACTGCAAGGACTGGGGCCAGACTTCGCAATGGCAAGAGTTAAAATGCTGCGAGTATCAGCTGTAGTAGACATACACATCCTAAGCTTTGGCGGGTTAAGCAAAACGTTGGACACTTGTCCCCAAGTAGAGGCTGCAAAACGTCCAAGTAGAGCGGGTGTCGGTGGGGAGGTGAAACCCTGTGTTTTACCGGTGTTTTCTGGCCCTGGGGGGGCTGGGAAGTAGGTAAACATACAGTTTTTGAGTAAAATATACTGTTTTAAAGGTACCCTCACATTTTTACTTAAACAGGTTTGCATAAAAACTGTCATGTCCAAAGCTTTCCTCTAGATCTCTGGGAATGATCATTTCTATATTTCAAAAGCGTTATTATATAAAAACTATCTTTTCCAAAGC